CCTAAATACTTGGGCCAGACAGTACCCGCTCCCAACCTATTATCCGTATTCCTCCAGACTAATTCCTTACACCTTCATGGGACCCGAGAAGTTCATTGCAGGATACAGCTACCAGATGAGGTCAGGAAAGAGTTACATAGCTGCTCACTGCTCCTGGAGAGACCTGGACACCCTGGAAATTTACCCCTATTGCAAGGCAGAACCTGAGACTTTCTACCATATTCTCCTTACTTGCCGCTCTTGTAAAAGAGTCAGAAACTTCCACCTCCCAGAGGTCAAGAGCCTGTATGATGAGGAGCCTCACTGGTTATCACTAACGCTCCTTCACGGCTTGTCTGGCTACCTCTCTGCAACTTTGACCAGTTTCTCTCCTGAGATGCTTGCATTTAGGAATCCCACCCCCCAGTTGTAATGAGACTCTACGAAGTACTATTACAGTTAACCAAACATATACCCATACCGGTATCAAGAGACTACTGTGGTAGGACTGATGGTAGACTAGAGTCTACCGGCTAGAGGTACTGTTGGTTAGGTACCTCAGTTGGGCATGCTATACCATACTAAGAAGTATACGTGTACTAATAAGGAGTAGTAGTTACCCTACTCAGTAGGGTAATCTAAGTAGCCAATTTGGAAGTTACTCTGAATTACTCGATGGTGAGTCCGGGTAGAGTTACCCTAACTTCAGACTAAAGTGACCCTACTTTGGGCTATGGGTTACCCTGTTATGGGGCCAGGTTACCCTACCTTGAAAGTAACTTGTTATGCAGGACTTTGGGGGAAGTTACTAGATTGTTTGTCACATCGAATTATATAGGATGTTCAAATCTCAGGTTGTGCGGATCACTCCCGCACAACCAATTGAGCTCTGAACAAGCTGTAACTTGTAGCTGTGGTGGCTAACACCCCCTTTCGGCCCCCTTATAAGTCTCTGGCATCATGGGCTATAGCCTGGAGAGTTGCTATAAGCCTAGTAAATGTCTTCAGATCGAGATGCTCCTGTAACACCGTATACGTTTCCGCAATCCGTCCGACTGGAATCTGTCCGCAGGATATATGAGGGAGTTGAGGGGAACCTGGAGAATGGTCTACAGGTAGTTTTGTGTAAGACGGACCAGAACTGACGGAGTAATACTACTTTGATGTCTATGGTAGTATGTGAGGTTACCAAAAGCTAGTAGGTAAGGTAACCAAAGTCCATTGCCCCAAAAGTGTAATAGCATTTGAAAATCGTTAGGGACTCTGAGATACTAGTCTAAGGTCATGATAAGACCTATTTCTAGGAGGGTTGACTGTGGGTAGTACCTATTGGTAGTCAATATCCAAAGGGGTCTATCAGGGAAGCTATGTGGCTATCATCTGGAATGATATAGAATTGAGTAGAACCAGATAGATGTTCAGGGGCTGCAAATGCTTGTAGAAGACTAAGTGTATATGGATAGAGAGTTTCATAGTTGGTATCGCATCTACTCGGGCATGACAGTTCACTACTGACATGTCCACCATATGAAGAGTTTCTACTCCTGCTGTTGCATTGTAAATGCAGCAGCTAAATACTTCTATCGAGTAGATGTTAGCAAACCACAAGAACATTCTAGTTCGCTACGGGGGATCTTTGGTCTGACCCGTGGAGGTTAGCTAGGCAGCCCAAGGGAGTAGGGTGCTCGCAAATACAGAGTAGTGATGGGAAGTAACTGGTAGTATATGAAATCTACTTAAGTATATGCGAGTTCTCCTCTACTCTGGCAATCAACTACCTCTCGAGATCAGGACTTAATTGAGTAAAAGCTGTGACTTAACGATATTATGTTTTACCGTTTTGTTTCTTCTAACTCTACTGTTGAGACTTTTGACATTTATTATATTTGTTCACTTTTGCAGAAGAATTCATTTCAGTGCAGTCGCAACTTTGGGATCCATCTTCCTAGAGGGAGCCCCCATTACACCCATCCCTGCCCATAAGCAGCCCCATTCCGTTGTCTAACTCTTCATCCTCTTTTTAGTACAGGAGAAAAAAGTTCTTCTTGCCTAGTTTCTTCAGTAATAGGTTTTCTCTTATGTTTAGTTTGAATGTTTCCCTTTATATTTAGCAGTTTGCGCTTTGCAATATGGTTGTTCGTACTATTTGCAGACACTAGTTTGATTTCTTTTGTTTAGTTTGTTTTGGGATTAAGGTTTTGTTTAAACTATAGCTAGCGCTGCATGCCAGTTCTTGTACAGTGCCTCATCAGAAGTGTTCATAATCTGAAACATGTTTAATTGCAATTGCACTATGGGACCGTGGAGTGGGATTGCCAACAGCGCTCGCGCTCACGTGCATGCAAGTATACCATCAACTCTCAACTACCACCTCTCAACGATCTATAGTTAATAATCAATAATCTGGTATGTATATTTTAGAGTAAAATAATAATAAATAAGGCTAGCTAATACTTTGTATAATCTCTCCTTACTTCCAATACTGCAGCTACTCTACCAGGCATTGATTTCCACAACCTTTCAAAAAACTCCTCGGGAATTGTCTCCCAAACTAAAGTGAATACTTGTACAAACCTCTTCTTAACAGCTTCTTTTCCTCCTAGAGTATCTGAAATCCTTGGATACTGCTGGTGTAATCACTTTTTAAGCTCAGCTCATCCATGCTCAATAGGATTTAAATCAGGAGAGTAAGAGGGGTGTTCTACTAATTCAATAGAATTCCTTTCAAATCATTCCATAATACTACAAGCCTTGTGAACAGGGGCATTGTCTTGCTGAAAAAGAATATCTGCAAGTTGCATACCAAAGAAAATCATTTGATCAATTACAGGAAAAAGATGTCTTCTTAAGAGTCTAATATACCTGACTTTGTTGATATCTTGAGTAATAGGAACCAAAGAACCTTTTCTCTTATCCTAAAAGCACCCCCATACTATAAGTAAAATATCCTTATTCTTTTCCTTTGGGTGAATACAATCTGCAAGCCACTGCTTCCCAGGTTCTCTGAAAACCTACTGCTGTCTTGAATCCCTGGATTACTCCACACTGTACTTATCACTCCAAATGACTCTCTCTAAATCCTCAGCTGTCCAATTCCTATGAGCTGTAGCCCATCTTAGTCACTTAACTATATGAACAGCTTTGAGCTTAGGTCTTGACTTGGCTAGCCATTTATTGATATTGGCATCTCTGAGTACTCAATGCACTATAAATTTATTAGATAATCATGTACTATCACTCAGGCTTATATGAGTACCACCTAGTTGAAAGAGAAATACCCAGTGCATATTTATACCTAAAATCTGATCTAGTCATTTTCTGGTTAGATTTGGCAGGCCGGATGATTATGAAATACTATTGCTGGCTGAGAACGTGTGTGCGACAAGGATGAGGAATATTATCTAAGGATAGATACTCACATGCACAAGTGAGGAAACTTTTAATAGTTGACTATGGTTGGCCAATAATTTGAGCAACCAGAGCAATATTCCAGAGACTGTGGAAAAATCTAATGATCATGCCTTTTTCTACACTGGTTATTTCAATTCGAGTGGTCTTTGAGTTTCTTTTTTTTGACTTTAATTTATATCCAGATCTGTTAACCATTGGAAATTCAGAGGAAATTAAAATTAAAGAATCATTCAAATAAAGGATCACGGTATTGTGGTGTAAATATTATATGGGGCAGGTATTATATGGTCGCGCGATCAGCAAGGTGGTAGTTGACAAGCTGGCATTTTTGGTGAAGTTGCTTAGTAAGACGATCACAAACACTTCTGATGAGGCACTGTACCTTAACAACAAATACATGATAATAATAAAAAAATATATAAACAAAAGACCTCTGATACAGACTCCTCACACAACTACTTAAGTTCTTTCCTATACTACAAGTTGAATCAATACTTTCTATACACTTGCATAATATTATGTGAGAAAGAGGTCTCATTTACAAGAGGTAATGTGAGTACAATATTATTCTCACTATCAGAAGTGAGAGTAACAATAGGAATTCTCTGATCTATCAAGGTATCAGGAAAACAGAAGAGATAAGATTATTACCTGTTGAAGAGCTAAGTACAGAGGAGTAGGATTGTTTCAAGAATAAATAATTAGATAGTAATATTGCAGACTTTAGTCAGAAATTAGTTAAGATCAAATATTATATTCAATTGACCCATTTCCTTAACTTTATGGAATTGGGTTTTGTGAGTATCTTATTACTATGTGTAATAGTTGAGTTTAATAATCCTCTTTTTGTAGATAGTAATGTAAAAATCAAGTTTCCAATTGTTAAAAGAATAATATTGCTGGCTTGGATAGTCAGAAATAGCTAGAAATTAAATATTAAGTTCTATCCAGCCCTTTCTTTAACTCTATTGAATTAGAATTTGTGAGTAACCTTTCAAAGTTTGTAATAGTTGACTTTAATGAACATATATATTCTACATTTTACCTTAAAATGTGATTTTAAGAGTTAATGCTTCAGTGCTCACATAATTATCATCTTGGCATAATGTGTCTATCTTAGCATATTTGGTCACATGACTATGTTTTCCCCAAAAGACTCTTTTATATAATAGATAGAGGTATGATACAGTACCCGAGTGGTGTTCTGTGGGTGTTATTATCCAGGGGTTCTGCCTCTTCGAGCCCTTCATTAAGTTTTCCTGCCCACTTTTTGCCCAGCCACTCGGAAACCCGTAAAAAGGCGAGTGATTGGGTGTGACTCCCCAACAACCTCTATTCTACTGCATTTCGGTGGATCATCGCAGGCCGCGCTTCAAACGAGGAACTAATCTGAGCCATATTTATTTACTCCTGGCAGTATTCAAAGTTAGGGTTTATTCCAGCACCATTGTTTGAGACTTTAATTCTATTGAAAATCTATGGTGCCGTGTCATACGGGGACTACCCAGTGTGTGGTGCCTGGTTCAATGGAGCACAAGTGCTTGTGCTGTACAGTACAGTACTCGTGCAATGAGTTGAACGCCATGGATTCCATTCAACCTGAGCCTCAAGACTAGGTTCTCTCAACATCCATTGTCACACAACCTAAACCACCGTCACCAGTGCTCCTGCTGCTGCTACTGCCAGGGACAGGCGCGTCGCTCTCATAAGTTACCATCGCTTTTTGACCGCACCGATCATCACCTCTGCTGCACTTTTCCCAGCATATCCTCCCCTGAATTCGCTCCAACTTACCATCTCTGCAAACTCAAACATGGCAACTCGGAGAAAGCGAGCAGATACCGTCACCACAAAAGCTCCGGCTCCCAAGAGGAAGCGCGACTCGGATTCGGAATCGGAATCGTCGCCTGACTCGGATAGCGAACTAAGCGACTTGGGAGAGGAGGATCTGGAGGAACCTATCGATTTTCAACAAGCCAGAAAAGTGAATGAATCTGGCGACGAAGATGAAGAGGATGAGGATGAAGAAGACTTTGACGAGTCTAGCGATGAAGACGATACACCAGAGGAAGCCGAGGATTCGTGAGCACCCTTAATACGTACATGTAAGGAGTTACTCTAATTGGACTAGCTACATTTTCGAAGAGGAAAAGGATGTCTCCGAAGACGAACCCCGGAAAAAGGGCACCGGCAGAGCACTCCTGAAGGAACCAGTATCGCGAGCCTCCAACCGTCACAAGCCCACAAACACCACACAAAATCAAAGGAGAAAACCGAGTACTAGCGTCCCAGGCAGCTCACTCAGAGAGTCGATCACGGTATCATCTCGCAGTCGGAATAACCAGAGGGTGGCACCACAGCCGAGAGGAAGAGCGGGGGGAAGAGCGGCAGAGGAGAAACCTTTCAAATTGACACTCAAGGTGGGAAGGGATAAACTTCGTGAAGCCACCTCCAACTGGACACCCCCCCCTGCTGCAGCTGACAGTGGTCCAGGCACCACTGCTGCTGCCACACCCGAAAGTAGTACATCGGCGACCTCAGACGGCATCGCGACGGCCAGGGCTCCTGCAATGACCCTACCTGCCCGCACGGGAAGAGGACGCAAGATTGTGGAAGAAGAAACCTCCTCTTCTTCATCCGAGGAGGAAGACGAAGACGAAGACGCGGAGGGTGAGGAGGACGCAGAAGGTGAAGAAATCGACGTAGAAGAAGACGCAGAGGGTGTCCTTGAGGATGATGGCCTCAACGATGAAGACGCTGAAGGAGAAACCGATGATGAGGAGATGCTGGATTCTGACGACGCCACTAACAACAACACCGGCGTTAATTCTCCGGATTTTAGGAGCAGAACGGGGACCCCTGACTTGAGCAAATTGACCAGAAGGCAGAGGGGCAGATTCGACGAGCTTTACAGTGCAGATCTATTGGAATTACCTACCGGCATAGGCATGTGGCAAAATAACTACATGATTACAATTTGCTGACTATTTTGCAGAGAGGCCAAGTGCAGCCAAAATTGTTCCATTGACCGCAGACGAGGCAGCACTCAAGAGGGCAGAAATGGCTAGGCGTCGGAAGAACCTTACAGACCAGAGATTAGAGGAAGAAAAGGTAATTTTTGTCACGTTCAGATTCTAGGATTAGGCGGCTAACGGGTTTGTCACCTGTCTCTGCAGATGGATACTATAAACAAGCTCCTCAAGAAGCAGACCCCAAGAATGCGCAAAGGTAGAGGAACCGGTGACGCCACACCCGCCGGGGGCCCATATGCCGATTCTACAATGGGTGGCATTTCTGATAATCCTGCACCGCCGCCAACGATGGTTCGTTGGGTCAGCAATGCGGCCGGCATAAGACTCGGCGTTCCAGAAATATGGATGGGCGGTCCTGCAGGCGCAGTTTTTGAGAAACAAACAGCCCCGGAGGTGATTGGGAAGAGTAGGATGGTGGAGATTATTGATGATCCGATGGAAATTGATATGAGAGCTTAGGTATTGAATTGGAAGGGCGTTATAAGTGTCTGGAGAAGGGCTTTGTATTTTTCCCTTTCTTTTCTGTTCTTTTTTTTTACCCCCGCATTTATTTTGCGCTCTGATGGGAGCGGGAAGGGGTCCTTTAATGTGTGTATCACTACCGTAGTTTAGATGTCCACCGTATGAGCCAGAATTGAACATGAAGTTGCTTCAAAAAAGATGCACCCGACAAGTTTTTACACTGTGATTTGTAGGGGCGAATTAGTGTCTATATTACACGGCAATGAGGGACTCATGGATGGCCATGCTATTAATCACAACCAGAGGACGTGGTCTCAATATGAGAGGCATGGAGTGGGTCTTCATCATGTATCATACTCAAGCTCCCTGGTTTCTACTCTATCCTGAGGAGAACAAACACCCCCTTCACCACCTTGGGCAAGAGAGGTCTCTTACAGTACTTTGCAAAATAGCTAGAGGATTTCCTAAGTGCCAAAGATTACCTGACCAGTCAGCTCTGAGTGAGAACAGCTATTTTACTGATACTGTATGCTGTGTCCCTTCCTTGCAATAGAGCATTTGAGGTCCCATAGTCTCTGGTCCGAGTGGTACATACGGGCGGCTCACTCGTGTTGGGTGTTTATTGCATAAAATGTGTAGACTCTTTAAAAGATTAACCTACCGTAGTAGGCAAGAATTTGGAACCTTCACTACTGTAGCTTAGGAGAGAAGTGAGACGATAATGAAGTTTGTCAGTGTTGATAAGGACGCTCCCCACTGCGCGTGGGTCGTGACTTGACACGAGGACTGAGGACTTGACGCCAAGAGCCCGAGCGCCTGGTTAACATAACGGGCCATCATTGCATTGCAGCTAACTTGAACCAAACCAACTACAGCCTCCTAATCTACTCCGTACACACACCATCCTCCCCCACCATCTCTCTTTCTCCTCACATCCTCTGGCGGTATCTTCCTTCACTTGAAATTCTTCACCACCTGACAATACAATGGTTTCCTGCCCAGTCTGCGCTAAGGATGTTTCCATCAATCTCATTAACCAGCATCTGGACTCGGGTTGTACCTATCCAAAAATTGGGTTGAGTACAACTTCTGGGCCACAGGTCCCAAAAGCGATGACCTACTTCCCAGATTCCAGTGCGACAAGACTAACTGCGCCTACTTCAAGCGAGCAACAAAATGCTATATCCCCGGGAAATCCCAAGCGCACCGCCACCCTAAGCTATAGCTACAACAGAAGAAACAGAGAAGCAGAGGGAGAAGACGAGGAAGAAGATGAAGACGAACATGCATCGAAGAAGCCGAGAACCTACCGGAAGCATAATCACCTAGAGAAAGCGATGCCCCTTGCCGAGAAAATGCGTCCGAAAAATCTCGACGACATTCATGGCCAAGAATTGGTTGGTAGGAGAGGCGTGCTTCGTGGATTGATTGAGGAGGGGAAAGTTCCGAGCATGATTCTCTGGGGTGCAGCGGGGTGTGGGAAGACTACAATTGCCAGGGTTATTGCTGCAATGAGCAGTTGTCGATTTATAGAGATTTCGGCGACGGCCAGCGGTGTTAACGACTGCAAGAAGATCTTTATAGAGGCTAAGAATGAGCTTGTGCTCACTGGACGGAGAACAATTCTCTTTTGCGACGAGATTCACAGGTATACCAAGGCGCAACAAGATGTGTTCTTGGCGCCTGTTGAGAAGGGAGAGATCACATTGTAAGTTTGCATGATTCCCTGCTCCGACACAGTGCACCGCTAATTAATACTTTTCTTCTACCCAGAATTGGGGCTACCACAGAGTAGGTATCACTTTTTCGGTTAATGGAACAATCGACTAATGCGGAACTTAGGAATCCGTCCTTCAAGGTTCAAAGTGCTCTGTTGTCCCGCTGTCGGACTTTTGCACTCAACAAGCTTTCGCAAGCCGATATAGAATCCATCCTTCATAGAGCCTTACTTTCCGAGTCGCTGTTGGATGAGAAAAAAGGCCACACTGTTGTTTCCAAGTTACTAGATACTTCAATGATTGAATATCTCGCCCGCTTTGCAGATGGTGATGCTCGTGCGGGCCTCAATCTACTGGAGCTCTCACTGGGCTTGGCTACCAGTCCTGGTATTACCCAGGAACAAATCAAGAAGAGCCTTGCGCACACAATTATCTACGATCGCGCTGGGGATGCGCACTACGATACTATATCTGCTTTTCACAAGAGCATACGTGGGAGTGACCCCGATGGCGCCATCTTCTGGCTGACCCGCATGTTGAAAGGGGGGGAAGATCCACTGTTTATAGCACGCAGAATGATAGTCATGGCAAGCGAGGATATCGGACTTGCTGATAACACTATGCTGTCTCTTGCCACTGCTACCTTCACGGCAATCCAACAGGTGGGAATGCCGGAGGCTAGGATCAACCTTGCGCACTGTGCCGTAGCTCTCGCCCTATCTAAAAAATCTACTAGATCCTATAGAGCACTAGGAAAAGCTATGGAGCTCTATGAGCACGATCCTGCCTTGGCTAATACACCCGTACCAGTTCATTTGCGGAATGCACCGACAAAGCTTATGAAGGAGCTTGTATACGGTAAGGAATACAAGTACAACCCTGACTACAAGGACGGGAAAGTAAAGCAAGAGGTATGTTTGCTATCTTTCTTCAAAATAATCATTATTCTCTATTATTCTCCTTTACCTAAATGTAGACCACACTAACCATTCTGAAATAGTACCTACCCGAGCAACTCCGAGACACAGTGTTTCTAGATGATATGGACTTGGGAACTAAGGTCGATCCGGACCTTAAAGATAAACAATTGAGAGTTAGGGGTTCCGAGTGACGGAAACTGGTGGGAGTGATTGATCTTTATTTTCAGCGTACATTATTTTCTACCATACATTTCGAACTAGCTAGCATAATAACCACGCCCGTACGTAGATATGGATTTCACCCATTTCCACCACAATACTACAATCATCATTTTCAATTTCCATTCATACTTTTTGTGTGATGTGATGTACTAGCTTGGAGCGATTAGTGGTGGCATGCCCGCACTATACTATACCGCCCAATTAAGGCTCCTAATAGGCCTATTATGCCTATTATGCTGGTAGTTCTCGAGCTCACAATTCCAACTTGTGGGAGACAGATCGTGGGCCCTCTGGAAATAGAGTAACCACGAGTGATAACCAGCGTATGGTATCTTCCGTAGTAAATAACATGAGTAGTACTGCAGTGGGGTCAACGGAAGGCATTACTCCATTGCAATATGTCTGCCTATGTTGTTCATGGCGTTTTCGGAATCTGGTAACTATAAGCAGTGCTCCGGAACTAGTAGAAATGGTACAAAATTAGATTTCCAATATCATTCTGATCTTAAAAGGGAGATTGAGTGAAATAATGACTATAATTAGTACAGAAAAGATCGGAGTAGTAGCAATTGAGGTGAGAATTCTGATCCGAGTCATGATGAGGTTTATGGATGCTGACTGCACGAGTAGCCACAGGGGGTTTATAAATACTGGTGGTCCAGAAGAGGTCACTTCACAAAAGACTCCATAGATCATACCTCCCCCTCCAGATTGTGGATTCAATTGCACAAATCAGGTAGTACCCTATGGTCATTTGGCCACCACATTTCTTGTTAAAGAGAAACTCTATTTTTGTCATGAATGTGGCTTGGCACAGGAAAAGGTTTTCACATAACTCATAATTATGAGTCATAGGTATGTTATTGTTTCATGCATATGACTCATTTGGGTCATATGACTTATTATATTATGTTTCGTACATGACTTGATTATGAGTCATGGGACGTGCACCTGGCAAGTATGTCTTGCGAGTGTGCCTTATGGGTATGCCTTGCGCATATAATTTATATTTTGCACATGACCTTGTTATGAGGTCATGGGTTTCACATATAGGACTCATTCGAGTTATATGACTTGTTTATTATGTTATGTTTGGTTTATGAGTTTTTGCACATGACCTTGCTATGAGGTCATGGGTTTTGAAAGTATGACCACTTTGGTCACATGATTAGTTTGTTAAGATTTGGTTTCGCACATGTGACCACTTTGAGTCACATGACTACAGGCGGGAAGAATACTATATAAGGAGGCCAATGCGGCCGAGGAGGATAGGTTCTTCATGCTTTGTTCTAAGTACTTTTCCTACTTCTTACACTCCGTGTTGGAAGTGAGCATAACCAGTACTTTACTTTATTTCGCTCACGATAAATACTTCATCTACTGTTACTTGTTTGTGTTTTTCGTTTCGGACGGTTGGTTAGAAGTAGTTGTTCTCACTTAGAAGATACTTCAGTGTGAAATATCCGTGGCCAGGTCCCGGTAATCACTGAGTATAGTTTAGGCGTGGATGGCATCTTCGACAGCCTCCTCATGCACGGATTCTCCCCCCCCTTTGAGGATGTCGTCCCCCGTTCGGTTCGACTCCAACCCTTCCTCCTTGCTTGAGACAGCCCGTGTGGCCTTGTCTCTTGCGCCCGCTACTGAGGCTGACTGTGGCCTCATCCCCACTACTACACGGTCATATGTTGCACTCAAAGGGAACTTTAGTTTCCTACAGTTTCATCACTGTCACAGGTATCAGAATGTGGTAAACCCGTAGTTTGACGATTTGGTTCGGCTAACGGTCACTGACGCGACCGTTGCCACGATGAAAGAAGTGGAGGTTTTGGTGAGAGGTTTCCTGATTGGGAGAGGCTGTTCAGCCACATGTGGCTGGAACAAAGATACTACTACAGGACTCTTCGTTCGGTTCAACTCAGACCATGGCTCGGAATATTCTCCAGCCCTCGTACCTTCTCCCCCTAAAGATTCTCAGGCTATAGTCCCTGAATCCTCCATCCCCCCCGCCAAGGACAACTTGACTGCCACCACGGTTGAGGCCAGCTCTTGGTCCACTACTCCTCCCCTCGCTAGGGCTGTCCAAAACAAGATGCCCAGCTTCTTCCGCCAGGCTCACAATGCCGGGACCGGCTCCTCGACTCCCTCCTTCCTGGCAGGAATGTCTTCAGGCGAAAGGGCTCTTTACGAAACCCCAAAGTTCAGACTCGATGACCCTGATGACGAGGATTATAGCCCTCCTGCCTCTGGGACACTGCACCGGACATGGTCAGTGTCTCCTACTAAGCGATCTGCTGCTCCTCTCCTTGGTCCCCAATTTTTAAGGGCTATCATCGTTGATGAGGGATGGAAAAAACAGATTGTCCCCGCTCTTCCTGGCCTACCCCTAGGCGTTCACCAGGGGCACTTGGCCATCCCTCCGCCTGTGGTACTCCCATCGACAATCAAAGCCACACCCCCTTCTCCATCCCCGTTAATGACTGAGGATGTCCTACCCACCTCTGAGGTGCTGGCCAGGGACACCCCTATGGAGCTGGATGATGGGCGCAACTCGGAAGCGACTGGTTTGGGCGACAGCATACACGTCCCTTCACTGACTATGGGTTCATCACCGCCGCCCATTGTTGAACGATGAGTGTCACCTCCCGGAGGCCAACTAGAGAATCACTCAGAAGCCCCTAGTGGCAAGTCAACCCCATTGGAGGTTCAGCTCCCAGAAACCCAACCAGAGGATGCTGACACTATAGTGGCCCAGGCGGACTCAATCATGGCAGGCGTCTGTGAGATGCTGGATGCTGGTAAGACTCCCTCTCCTGGACCCTGCTCAGGTAGTATAATCGGGTCCATGTTGGAAGGCCTGGAAGTCATCCGGTCTGGCAATACTCAGCCTCTCCTCTCCTCGGAATCCGGGTCGATTGAAGATGACGCAGTACAGGATGTACGAACTTGGATGAACAGTGGCTCCACCTTTAATGATGAAGATCCGAGAAACGGGATAAACTACATGAGTCGAGTCCATGTCTTGGAACGGGCAGTAAAAGTACTGACTGACATTGTTGGCAGGCAAGGAGATGAAATTGAAGCCCTTCAGGTAAGGTTATCCCCCCACTGCCACCCCCCCCCTTGCTGGACCTCACAGCACCTCCATTGTCTCTTCGGAGCCAACCCTACCGTCCCCTACCCCTGAGAGAAAGGAGGTCTTTACGAGGACTCCTACTGCTAAAGCCTCTTTTACGGAAGTAGTAAAACGAATAGCATATGTACCCAAGCCCCCCGCTGGCCTACAGGAATGGGTAGGTCCTGCCCGGCCCGCATCAGTGGCCTCATCCCACCAGTCCAGCAGCAGCGGCAGCTCCTCCAGTGAAGGGGAGGTAGTCTTGCGAGTAGCCTGTGGGGGTGAAGGCAAGACTGTTTACTGGGAAGAGGAGGAGGGGGAGGAGGAAGATAAAAGGAAAGAACGAAGGAAATGTGACAAACGCCTGAGTGGTACTGCTAGAAGCAGAAGAAAGGCTGCCAGAGGATCTGGTGAAGAAAGGGAGGCGGCGACCCCGGCCAAGACTCAGGGGAAGGCTGATAAACAGGAATCGGCTCCGAAGGTTGCGACACCTGTTACTACGGTGGCTCAGTCCGGGCCAGCAGGCCTTGCTTGTGTCAAAGTAGGCACGGCTCAGATACGACAGGAATACCGATGGGTACCAATGGGACCCCCAGACCCACTAAACTTGGTACTACCACCACCATGCTCGTCACCAACCCTGAATGCTAGCGGAAGGCACATCACCATGCGCTTCGCTACATGGAAGAATATTGCCCTGCTAGAAGGCGTCGATATTGAGGCAATCCGAAATTGGATCAATATTACCTTTTCCAATCAGGGAAAAATACGGGGAAATGCTCTTTATATTCGCTCAGGACATGTCCAGCTGGAAATTGGATGCATCTTCCTGACCTTGGTGGTACACTCTGTGACAGAGCTAGGCAACAGGTTGGACAAGGCCAGGCTCGATCTACTTAGGGAACTGTCACCCCCGGAGTTCGAATTCCAGAGGAACCTGGAAAAGTTGAAGATTTTTGTTTCTGGTGTTCCGCTTGCTGACACAGGATGGGGATCGATTTGGAGGGTGGAAGGATGGACTGGAAGCGTGGCTTTTGATGGCCTTCGCACTGATTTGGAGCAATCCAATACTGGTGTAGTTACTGTTTCCCGACCCAATATTATGGGATCCATACACGCCATGAGGCAGGCCAATGCTACAAGTTGTGGCATCCGCTTCGTGGTGGAGAATAATGAGGCCATCAAGGAAAGATTGGCAGAGGGAAAGATTTGGTTGCGAGGAGGTGCCCGCAATGTCAGAGTTTTTGAAGAGCATCGCCCCCTTAAGGTATGTGGTAGGTGCTTGAAAACCGGCCACTTTGAAGCGACATGTGGCCGCCCCCCTCGGTGCCGATTCTGCTTCGGAGAACATTTCTCTCAAGAGCACATATGCAGCAAGCTGGCATGTTCCGGAGGAGTAGGCCAGGCCTGTGGACATTCCAGGAGACAGCGTTGGTTGTGCGACTGGATGGACCACTTCACAGGATATGAGCGATGCCCAGGTATCAAATTGTCATCCCCAACTCCACCTTCCTCGCCTGCTACACAGAGGGTGGCCACACTGACAAGACCCGTGAAGAAACCTGTCAAAAAACCGGAACAGCAGGGTAAGAGGGTAGAGGGAAATAAGAGGAGAAAAGGCCGCAGCCGTAGAAGGTCCTCGACACCCAGGCTGGTCGAGATCAGTAGTGATGAGGAAGCAGAGACTCCCCGCCGTAAGTCAGCAAAGGCCAAGGGTAAGGAACCGGAACGGCCTTCCCCCTCCCTGGTACGTGGGATTTTAAAAACCAAGGCTGGCACCGCTACCAAGCCCCGTGATGAGGAAACAAGTTGGGTTGCCCGGGATCCGGATACCGGCTCCACCTATGCCTCTGGCCCTTGCGGCCCGAGTGGATCAGTCGAAGCCCCCCTTTAATGCTTATTACGACATTGGCATTAAATGTGGGGAGGAGTAGTTGGAATCGAGTGCTGGCATTTGATTTGTTTTCCTTTATTAATTTGGTGTTTATTATTGAACCGCCTGTT